CACGTCACGGTAACCCTTGCTCACAAGAAGCCATCATGAGGAGTCTGTTTTCTTCTCCCCACTCCACGATGGTCGGATCCCTGCAGCCATCACCAACCGTTTTGCGCGAAAGCTTCCATTTATTCTCTGAATTATCAAAGCGCATGGACAGCAATGAAGTCGTTCCTTTCTCTGTGGCCTGCATGGGAAACATGAGCGTACCGTCCTTCGTCTTAATCCCCGACCCTCCGCCAGAAACCAACTGGGTCGAAAATTTAGCAACATATTCATCGTTTCCAAACGTCACCGCATGGGTCTCCTTCCACGTGATTTCATTGCCACCACTGACGCTTCCCTTTACCAGCAAAAGTCCCCAGTCACGTGCATTAGCCAATTTATCCACCGACGGTGTAACGCTCTGATTTCTCAGAAGCATGTAGACACTGTCGCCAGCCACAACTGTCGTTGGCCGCATTGTGTCTTTTGCCTCGACGGCACCCGTCGCAACACCCTCTGGAAACTGCACCACCAAACTTGTGTCCTGCGTCAATATCTCCGTTGGCTTATCATCAGTTAGATCGAGGTGCCTTGACGCAATCCCAGCACGGCTGCAGCTTTCTCCTTTTTCCTTGCACAGCGCTTCAGCAACGAAGAACACGTTATTGTTCACCTCAACAAGGCTGGGAACGCGGAGCGAGAATAATGTTTCATTAACTTTTGTAGGGGCTTCCCATTGAGAGGATGTCCATCCGATCCCTGTGAATGGATCAACGTCAGTCTTCGTCTGCACAGCGTGCGCAGCGCCACTGGTGCCGCATAACACGACGACGAGAAGCAGCACCGCAGAGCAGAAGAGATGCCGGGACATGTTGGGCCTCTGCAGCTCACTCTCTCTTCCTTCCTTCCTCCTTTCGCTGGATCCGGTCACGCGAGTACGGCTGTGTGTGCGGGGTGCCATGACTGCAGCAACAATTGAGAGTATATAAATACGTGTGTGTGGGCGGTGTGTGTGTGTACTGCTGTTGTTCCTTTCACAGCCCTCAGAGTGCACAGTAGCGATTCGCGCTTGTTTTACTTCCTTTTTTTGTGTGTGAAGGAAATGGGAAAAGTCATGGAGGAGAAACACAGCGAGCTGCAAGGGAAACCAGTGCGCACCGGCAGCAGCCACACGCCATGGACGAGGAGAAGAGATCCATCGCCTCCAGAACATTCTCACGGCCAACGGGATACGGCCACAGCCCCGCAGCCAACACACAACGCACCCGGAGCTAGCAATCACCACGCCAGCCACACGTTGAAGTGGGTCCTCACCCATCCACCAGTCACGCGGCACCAAAATTTACACAGCCATCCCGCCTTCAATGAGATGGCAGTGCCTCACTCAGTGCCGTTACACGGAGTGCGCTACTTCTCCAAAGGAATTTATATTTCGTCCATCCCTTAAATATGTTTCCGTTTGTGATGGGCCCTACAACAAAAGTGAAAATAAAAATAAAATGGAAAATGCAGCAATACTGCAGCACCGCTAGCCACAATGAATCTGCCAAGAGAGCAATTCTCCGATTGTGCATCTTATGCGCAAACAATTAACATGATATATGAAAATCACCCAATGTTTGTCAGAAAAAAAACAAAACCAAAACCAAAACAACCCCACTCCCTCCCTAATTTATTCCGTCACTGTTATGTTCGATAGCGTTGGACATTCTTGGCATCTGTGTGCCTCAATGCCACCTGGTGCTGGTGCACCCGCACCGCATGGAAACAAAAGCATCAAACCATATAAAAATACCCGAATATTTTTTTCACCAGATATCAAACTATCCCTTTCATTCCCCAATTTGTCTTGTTTTCCTATTTTTTTGTTTTTTCCTCACTTCGGAGAAGGTTCGCCTCTTCTGAAAACTCCAGATGATATTGACGCTTGGTACTGGTGTACGTTTTTTTTTTCCAGAAACTCAGACTTTCTTGGTTCTCCTCCTCGCTCACTACATTGGAATTGACGACATCACGTCTCTGCCAGCCACCCATCAGCACAATGTCTGCGTGCTGCACGTAAATAAACTCCCACGACATGTCTCGGGCAAAGTCCTCCCACCCATCAAAATACGCCGCCGGATACTCAGCGAACTGCCTCACAGTGCTGGCGCTCCTGTGATGTCGACACGCCGTAGTTATCCGCAGCCCAACCAGCGGAAATTTCTCTAGCCACCGGTCCCTTACATCAATCTTCTTGGGTCCGCGTTGCAATGGAAACAATCCAAACGGCTCGGTGGGATGTCCTCCGGGGTCACCCTCAGCACGGTGTTCAGTGGCTTTTGGGGCGCTGGCGACCTCAGCTCCTTGAGTTCCTCTGCTATTTTAACGAAAAAGGCCTCATTCCTGAATGCGTCCAAAGCATATCTCTCCACAAATACAGACGCAAAGGAGCATTCTTACTCCTCGTTACCGAAAATTTAAAAACTCCACAATGGGGATTACCTTTTCCAGAAAGGGAAATGCTCGATTCGTGAGGTGATAAGATAATGAGTCGGTATTAAAAGCCTCGGAACCAAATATTCCTCTTTCTCGGTTAACACGCATGAGTTTGTAAAACGGATTCTCGGTACACCATGCCCTCATTGCTTCAAATGTAATGTAATTTGCGTCAGCCCGAGATTTTATCGATCTCAAGACACGATCAAGTTCATTATAGCGTTTACTGAATTCTTTCGCATCAAAGATGTAACGCGGAATCGGCCCCAGAAAATCCATTTGCTGGCAGACCATCCTCCAGTATTTCTCTTGCTCCTGTGGAGTCCCATCGCGCTTCATCCACGCACACATCGCCTTCACATCCATCCCTTCGGGGCAATTCATGATGATTCGGTAAGATTCTCGTTGACGCGCAAACTCATAAACGTCCCTTACCTTTGGGGATGCCAGCCCAATCGTGCCCCATCCGGTGGAGGGCGCAAAACTTATCGGCAGCTGTGCCTCATTCGTTGGCACATCGTAGATTATATACCCTTTCATCCCACGCTGCGACAAACTCGACACAACACTCTCGGATGCTTTACTACCCACGTATTTTGTCACCGTCTTGGTGGTTTTGTCAAAGACGTAGGCCACATCCCCTCCAAAACAGTGGACAACCACTTGGATTTTTTCGGCATCGTAGTGCAGCAGCTGGTAGAGGAGGTACGAACCGGCATTCATCGACTTCCCGATCCCGGGCGTCCCAACCAACACACGCTTCTCAGGTGAGGAACTGTCTTTTAGATCGTCCTTGACAATTCGCCACGCTCGATCCACCTCACAGTTCACATAGCAGTCAACAATGGGTTTATTCTCCCTCCACGAGTACGGCCATCCCTTGTCCGAGGTGAGCACCATCAGCCTGGGACATGGCGGGCTGAATTGCTCCACACCGTCATCCTTTTCGAAAGTTAGACCTTCCTTCTTGTACGTCCATGACTGCGGTGGTTTTCCCTCATGTACCTCCATTCGGGTCTTCCGAATCTTATCGTCATAAAACCCCAAGACATGGCCCCACTTCGCACCGTACACAGACTCGTAGAATCCCTCCAGCTTGGTTGTCTTTTCTTCAGTATCCTGCCTTACATTTTCTTCTGCCATCCGCTTCGCCCTTTCTTCTGCCTCCCACCTTGCTACTTCTTTCCGTATCTGAGTGAGGGCATCGTTAAGTTTTTTCCTTGTAGGAGGAGTGACAGTATCCTTCTCTTTAAATTCAATCCAGTCTTCGAGATAGTTCAAATGCCCGTCCGCAAGCTTGCGCCTATCTCTTAAAAGCTGATAATCCTTTAAATTAGAAATTTCTTCAAGCAGCTGCTGGTCTTTTATGTAGGCATCGGGACTCTCCAAAAATTTCCACATATCCACATTCTGTTCTTCTTCAACGGCTGCCCTGGAGCCAAAATACTCCCGAAGAAAATCATTCAGCTTCATCTCGGAAATGTCGGTCTCTCCGTCCAGCAGGATGTTCCGCACGGTGCTGCACATGGTCCACTGTAGTTGCGCTTCCTCCACGCTTATGCAGGTCGCAGTGGGCTGATCTGTGTCACCCTCAGGGTCCGACCTCGCTCTCTTCCGAGAATCTCCCTGTGGCACAGCAGACGCTTGGCCCTCCTTATTACCGTGAATTCCTTTGCTTGGCCTTCCAGACATTGTTTCTTCTTTTCTTAGTTGGATCGAGTTAAAACTGAACACTAACAAACAATCAAAAGGGGAATAAGAAAGAAATGAGATACGCACGGACATGACTAGCAGCCACAAAAATAGAGTCATCCACACAGCGTGACGCACATCACATGCACGGAGACCACCGCAACGACGGCAAGCGGGTACCATCCACCCAGCATAGTGTTGGAGAGGACCTACAACAACAACGTGGTGGGCGCGGAGGGTTCACCCACGCATTCCGCTGGTCACGGTCCCACACCCCTGTGGCACCGCTGTCACCACACAAACTCTAAAAGAGGACATGCTCGCACAACGCCGCTGAAGCACACAAACACCGCAGTGCTGTCAGTCCGCGGGTGAGAGGGTTCGGCCATCCACACAGCAAATGCACACACCGCCTCCACAACATTCTCACGGGCAACGGGATACGGCCACAGCCCCGCAGCCAACACACAACGCACCCGGAGCTAGCAATCACCACGCCAGCCACACGTCGAAGTGGGTCCTCACCCATCCACCAGTCACGCGGCGCCAAAATTTGCACTGCCATCCCGCCTTCAATAGAATGCAGTGCTTCACGCGGTGACACAAAATAAAAATAATCTTCTGGGCCGCTTTCATCATCCTGAGGTTATCAATCACAAAAAACAAACTAGACGGGAATGAGAAGTAAATGGAATAAGAGTGCGTTCACCACGTCCTCAAACTTTACACCAAGTAAATGTATATATATACATCATCCTATAGCCACAATCGTGAAATACTGCATTCTACTCGGATTGGATGTATATATATTTATTACTTACAAAGTGGCAGACTTTGGGGTCCTCCAGCCACAAGACTCCGCCGCTGCCCTTCGCAAGTTCTACCCTTCGCCACGTCCTGAAGTGCAAAAACACGACCGTGTGATATGCCGTCTGCGGGGGTTGTCCTTCGGCAGACCGCACGTAGGCAACGGATGCCTGTACTCCGCGAGAGTCCAAAAACTCATATATCCGTTGCGGCTCCCACGTCATGGCGTGTGATTGTGAGCCGCCCTTATTCGCCGCTCCTTGCAGTGAAGTGTTGTCCACCCAATGTCCATGGTGGGTGGCGAGACGGCGGGAAAGGCCGATAAGGCTAAGCGTACCACGCGCACCGAGGCCTGCATGATAAGAAAAGCCTTCCTCTTCCATTTCCTCCCGGCAATTTTAACGTCGCCGGAGTCTGGAATATAAACGGCTGCCCATCCATGGAGCGATGCGTCCGTGATGACGGCGGCCGATGCCTTTTCAGTGGCATTGACGTTTCGCTTGCAACTATGTTCTCGACCATGTGTCGCAATCTCTCGCCCAAACCAACCGCTGCCGGCGGAACGTTAGCCGGGGATGTCTCCTGCACAATTCCCCGGTTGAGTGCGGATAATCGCCGTCGCACCGCCTCGAAAAAGTAGCAGTCGCGTACAAAAAAGCGTGACGCCATAACCTCCATTTCCGCGATGGTTGAAGAATTCCGCGCCGACATGGCGCATACGGACCGGACAAACGTGTCGCTCAGGGATACCGCCTGATATGTATGATCAAACAGCACTCCCAGGAAGGTGTACTGCGTGCTGCCGACTCGCGATCTTCCCCTATCGTGGCGTGAAGGCCGTCCGCATTACGAAGCACTTGGGCCTCCCACAATGTCACGTCGCTTCTCGACCCTGCAATGCGGATATTATCGATCCATACGTCGACACGCACCCGTGGAGGTGCGGCCCAGAGGCGGTGAGCCACCGTCGTCACCCCCGCAATT